GGCAAGATGATTAGTGAAATGATACAGTTTTGTAGCAAAACCAATTTGACCTTATAGAAATTAAAACTGCATGAAAAATTAATTATCAGTCCATGTCTAGTGCCAACAACTCTAGTGTGTACATTAAAAGTACACTCCCTAATATAGTGCAAGGACTCTTATCAGACCACAGAGCTTGGAGGCATTAAAGAGCACTTACTGCTTAAAAACTTTATGTATTGACAGACATGTGTCAAACTCTAACTCATAGAAATAGTCCGTCTTTAAAACCCATTCACTAATACACAGAAAAAATACACAAGGTTAATTTGTGATGTGCTGTCTTTGATGTATAATAACTATTTCATATCTCTTTCTCAAAAATTGTTAATACCACCTGGTGTGCTAATTTAAATAGGTGGGCATTAAATGAATATATAACAGCTTACTATGCGGTCCTTATTTGTTTTTAAAAACGAAATCATTTTTACCACAATAACATTTTCATCTTTTTCTAGTTTTTAAACAACTACAAGGTTTGGAGAAATACCACGTGGTTAAGATAATTTGCTGTCACTCTTGCAGAAGACCGGGATTCATTTCCCAGGACCCACGTGATGGATAGCAACTATCCATAACTCCGGTTCCAGTGGCTCCATTGCCCTCTTTTAACCTCTCTGGGCACTGGAAACGTCTGGTGCATCTAGAGACTCATATACATAAAATACATCTAATACAAATATTCAAAATGATATTTTATAATACTCTAATTTAGACTTAGGGTATAGGTTGGCACTGGTCTAGCATAAGTGCCTGAATAGTTAGGTCCCATTTTAAAAGCCTGCAGAGCAACAACCACCACCACCACCACAACAAACAGCTAATCATGATAATCTATAACCTAAACATGATTGTAAGCTACAGAAATGACTGAATGCCCCTCCCCTCCTTTGTTCATCCCTTTGTCCATAAGGCTTTGCGTATGTCAGACAAGCACTCCTCCCAACCTCTATGCCCAGCTGGTAAATCTGATGACTTTTTAAAAGTGTATTTAAGCCTTCATTGAAGTATCACTTCTTATTTCATTGTAATGATGTATTTTAAAGCTAAAATACTTTAAGATAAGCTGATTGTGTATATTTTTCTCTCAATACAGAATTAATTGTTCCTAAAGTTTATCTTACCAGAATTTGAAAATCATAGCTTTGATAAGCAATAAAATTTAACCGAAGCCAATGTACTTATAAAAAAAAAAACAATAACATATTTTCTTAACTGGTATTTCAGAAAATAAGTGTTAAGAATTTTTTCTTTGTTCTATCTGATGTCTTCACTAACAGCACCTTAGTTTTAAAATTTATCTTGTTTTTGAGTATGTAAGAGAATTTCAGTATCTAAATCCCACAGTTCTTACTAATTTCATCAATGAATTTATTAATACTCAAAAAGTTGAATGGTTTATTCAAGACAAAATATTTGTTACATGCAAACAGTCCTGATGAGACCTGATAGGCTAGGGTCAAATAGAAAGGGAGGAGGACCTCCCTTATCAGTGGACTAGGGAAGGGGCATAGGAGGAAGGAGGATGGGATTGGGAAGAGATGAGGGAGGGAGCCACAGCAGGATAAAAATTTAATAAATTGTAATAAATGATAATAATAAAAAATATATTAACATAAAAAAGTCTGTTACTACTTGGGACTTTGGGCTTATGTTCATTTAAATGCCATAATTTCCTTGGTAGGAATTACTTATTTTACTACACAATTTAATTTTAAATTATCTTATTATTCTTAATGAGAATTGACAAATATTAATAATTTTTAACTAGTTTTAGTATCCTTTTCTAAAGCATTTTAAGATTGATAACATAGTATATGCTTGGAATCCTGTCTTTCTTTGCTGCTGATAATGATCAGAGTTATTGAATACATTTTATTCACTTGTCAGGATCACTGAGCATGACTAAATCTGACAACGATCAGTTGGTAACACTGAGATTGACCCTGTCACTATTGATGTAACTTATTAAAATGAAAAATTCACTGTTTTGCTGGAGCTACTTACAAGAAGAACAAGAAGTCCTAGTGAGTGTGTCTGATTAGTGCAAAAATTATGGAACAGAAGTAAGATTGAAGATCAAACCAGGAACCTCATGTATGTATCCCTAAACACAGAAACACAGCCTGCTCGTCTTTGTCTATATAATTTAACATGTACATATATGTTTTCAAGCCTGACTATTTAGTATGAATAATCAAGGGGTGTGCTGTTTTCTGAGGAAGTTTATTTGTTTTCTGGGGAAATCTCCTCTTCCTTTCAACATTGCTTAGTTGCCTACAATGTTTTGCATAGAATTGAGGCTTTCTATACTTTCTTCTTTCTACATTCACATGATTATTGTTGTCATCCTTGTTCAGGCATTGTTTAGAAAGGCATGTTGGTAAGATTTCATGGGGGTATATAGTTCTCTTACATTTCTGGGAGGCACAATCTCATCACAGAAAACTCTCTGTTCCTCTGACTCTTACAGTTCTTCTACCCCCTCTTCCACAATAAATCCTGAACATTAGTGATAGGAGTTGTTCTGTAGATGTATCCACTGGAACTGGGACCCACATTCTCCATTTTAAGAAGTTGTTGTTTCTCCATGCTTACACATTAGTCCAAGAAAACTCCTTAGGGTGTTTGTTGCGAGAATGAAGAAATGGCAGACACAATCAAAGAGAAGAGCTGGGACTGTGTAGAATTGGCTTTCTTATGGAGAAACCACAGCACTTCAGAAGTTCAGCATGTCTACTTTATGTAGTTGAACGGGAGGCAGGATTATTACACACAGATAAACAAGTAGGTGGGTTATTACATATAAATAAAAAAGAAGGCACGGTATTATATACAGGAGACCAGGGAGGTGTGTTCAGATAATCTCAACAGAAACAGTCTCCGCAGGTAACAGCAAACGGGTCTTAAGTGAGAGAGTTATGGTGGACATTTTCTGCACTGAATATCAACATTTGTATTAGGACTTCAGGAAAATTTGGTTTCTACAGAGGTTTTCTGTGATGTTTTCTGTCTGTTTAAAAGAGAAGCTTCTGCAGTGAAGAGTGAGAATGACACGTCTCTGTGTACATAAGGTAAATATTTAGAATGCAATTAAAGATTGAGCTGTTTTAATACAGTGGTAATTGTAGGTTCTCTTCCAAGATCCGTGACTTTACTACCCTTGAGTAGCTGTCTAGATTTCCCGTACCAGGCACGATTTCCATCTTGCTGAGGATACACTAAGTCCAAGTAGAAAGCTGTTATAGCTTAGGTATGTGTGATACTATTGAACACAAAGGGTTATTGTACCATTCTGGTAGTTGTTCTGACCTGGGTAGGACCACTGGTTATTTCCCTTCTTTGGAGGGAGATATTTATATTATAAAAAATACCTTAATTTCCTTCAATATAATTTTCTACTATTTTTTCAGTGACCCCACAGACTATTGTCAGGTCTAATGTGTTCCTGTTTATATTTAGAGACTGTTTCAACTGAAATTTCTCCCTATTTTTTTTCTCCATCACAAATGGTTATGCCTGCCCCCATTTTATTTATTGCATTCTTTTACATAAATCTGGACTTCTCAAATATGTCATAGTCTTCAAGAAATCCCTTTTCCTTTGTTGATGCATCAGTCTCTGTAGGCACCCGTGGGTCCAGGTTTTTGGGCTTTGTTGGTCGGTCATCTTGTGGAGCTCCTGCCTCCTCCTGGTCCTGTGCTCTGCCCAAAGTTTGGCTGTGAGTCTCTTGCATTGGCTTCCATCCCCTACTGTCCTAGACCTCCTGCTCACATGTAGCCCATAGGTAGCTCAATCTCCATGTATGTACTCTAGTAAGAGGAGCAGGGCTGTCTCTGACATGAATTCAATTGCCTGCTCTTTGATCACTTCTCCCTGGCAGGGTGGGGGGGGGGTGCAGGGAAGGGCCTTGCCAGCACACAAAGCAAGAGGATACAGGGAGTACTGATGAGACTTGATAGACTAGGGTCAGGTAGTAGGGGAGGAAGGGGCCTCATTTCAGTGGACTAGGGAGGGGAATGGGGGGAAGAGAGAGAGGGTGCACCTGGGAGGAGATGAGGAAGGGGGCTACAATCTGGATATAAAGTGAATAAATTGTAAAAAATAAAATATAAAAAGAGAAATCTCTCTTGATTTTAGTGTTCTGCTTTGACTCTATTATTTTATTAGCTTATGTTCCTGTAATCTGCGTATTTTCTTCATAACATTTGTCATATTACTTAAATTACTCATTTTCTACTTTCCATAAAGGACTTAGCTAGCAAAAGGAAGAACTATTGTGTTTCATTAAATGTCAAATCCTGATGTTATGAAACTGGTACTTAATGTTTGTTGGTTTTTGTTTTTTTAATATTTGAGTGAATTTAGTACTCTTGGTAGGAGATATTTTGGAAGTAAAAGAACATTTTTGAGGGTGAATAAATATTAATTGTAATAGAAGTAAACAGATGAAATCAGTTTGATAAGATTGGTTGATTCCTATAAAAATAAGAAAAAATAAATGAAGTATTTACTCCTTTATTCTTTACTAAGTTAAATAATAACATTAATTAAACTTTTCTGACAATTTGTGTCATGCTATTGAGTAATTTTAAGATTTTTTTTAAAAATCATAGATTCTAAGTCTAAGAAATATTATAAATAATTACCAGCCACAGAGGAGTACATATATCTCTCTGTATCTTTCTATATAATATATCACATTAAATAATATATAGATATGATATTCATATATATTATATATAGTTTATAGAGAGATATGATGATGAAATTTTAAAAGTAGAAAACATCACTGATAGATATAAATCCATATAAACATAAAAGAACAAAAGAATAAAATATCTAAGTTCAGGAGAATCCACAAAAAACAAAGAGTTATTATTTTTCATATATGCACATTTGCAAATACAACTAGAACAAATGTACATTAGTCATTATTAACACAATGGAAATCAGAGTTGTCTGCGCATAGAGGCATGGTAGGCATGCTTTCCGTGTCACGTGATCATCAGTAGGTGGCAGAGAAGAGAGAGGCTATGTCTATGCTGAATGTTCTGAACTATGAACATCTGAGTTATTAGTAGCCTAACATCCCCTGAGAAAAGCAAGCCTGAGACAACCACCAGTCTGATTCCAGAGAGCCTGGACAAGGGAGCTACTCTGAGACTGCAACAAGTCCTGGGCCAGGAAAGCCCAGATGGGCTCCCAGGACTGGGAACAAGCCAAAGGAGACCCGAAGAACCCTCCCTGGGACCCCAGGCCCTGAGCTGGAGTGAGCCTCAGACAGATGGTTCTCTCAAGGGGCCACTTAGCAGCCAGTGGAGTTAATCCAAGAGGACTACCAGTCCAGCACTGGGCAGGATTTAGGGGGCCAGACTATGCTTGTGATGACCTCTGCCAGGTACCATAATGCACACGTGTTCCCCAGATCCCACCAGACACGCAGAGACTGCAGGCTCCACTAAGAGGAGAAATAGGTGGTGGAGAAATGGACGAGAAAGAGAAACAGAAGGGTGCGGGCACAATGCAGAGAGGCAGAACTGGAGCCTTTGGGCTAGTGAGAAACAGCCTGAAATGATTGGCTGGTGATGCCACTGGGTACCATGGTTGGGTTGTGGCCTGTGCTGAGTCCATGGGCCTATAGCAGCAGGGGTCGGTTACCACCAGTAGCCAGGCTGAGTCGCTGATCTTGGCTGCCTCCTGGGGCCATGTTGATGTCTGAGGGCTGTGCAGAACTGACCCCACTGGACACACAGGCATCATGGGAGCACTGACCCTTGGGGCATGAGAGCAGGAGAAGTGACTCCATCCCTAGCCAAGTGCAGTACTCTAGTGAGCAGACTCCACACATTGTGGGAGTTGCTGGGGAGCTGGCCCCCCTACAAGTGAGGATGGAGAGCTGGACCTGCCACTCATCTCTGGTGTGCTGGCATGAACAAGAGAGAGATACCCTCCTCCCACGTTGCCCCTGACCACCTGCCGCAGGCAGGAGACCTGGCTTCAGGGTTATGAGAGCAGGAGAACTGACCCTATACCTCACCAGCTGCAGCACTTGAGAAAGCAGGCCCCACACCTTTGCTGGGCAGCACAGCAGAGCTGACCATGATGGCAGGTGTGAGGGTGAGCTGCCCAGAGAGCCTGAGTGTGGGAATGCTGGCTCCACCCTTTGCCCCATGGCATGGGCGAGAGTGAGATGTACCTCTCCAGGCAAAAGAGCTGGTCACAAAATCATCAGAGCAACAGAGCTGTCCCTGCCTCTCATCTGATGCAGCACTCAGGAAACCAGGCCCTGCCCTCACCTGGGCAGCACAGTAGACCTGGCCCTAGATGAGGGGTTACAGGTTGAGCCAACCCTGAGGACATAAGTGTGGGAGAGCTGGCCTTGCAACCTGTTTGCCTTGCAGCAGAGTGGTCAAGAGAGAGCTATCCTTCCTCCACCCTTACCCCTTGCCACCTACAGTAGGCAGAGGACATGGCCCTGGGGTCATAAAAGCAGGGGAGATGACCCTGCCCCTCATCTGCCACAGTACTTGGGGACGCAGGTCCTGTACCTTGCTTGGGTAGCACAGTAAATCTGGCCCTGGGTGTAAGTTACAGGTGAGCTTGCTGGCCCCAGGGCAAGAGAGCAGACCCTGCCTCTTGTTTGCTGGGAAATGGTATGGCCAAGTGAGAAACACACTCTTCTCTCTCTTCCCTAGAGCTGACCAGCTCAGTATCTCTCAGGCCTAGATCAAGGGCTTTCAGTTGGCCAATCCCAACATCTACCACATTGATGAACTGCTGGAGTGCATGAAGATGCCAAGCCTACAAATCATAAATTACAGAATCTCCATGTCACAGGGCAACAACAAGATATCCAAGAGAAGTCTCAGTGAGGTTCCAGTATTGACAGAGTAGCAAAAGCCAAAGGCCTCATACCAGACCAATAAGTCATTACAATGAGCATTTGCAAGCAAAGAAATGTGGACGAAAGGGTATATTATGGGGTAAACTGTGACACACTACAGCTTCCACAATGAGATTATTTTTTCTGTTGTGTCGAGGTTGCAAGGATGAAGGGTGGGTACTAAGGTTAGAGGGGTATGAGTGGAATTGGAATGCATGATGTGAAATTTACAAATACCCAATAAAAAGGAAAAAAAGAAAAAGAAAAGAAAGGAAGGAAAGAAACAAACAAAGAAGGGAGGGAGGGAGGAAGAAAGAAGAAAAGATAGTCCTGGATTTTTGGATGACTAGCATAAGTGATTTGGAATTAAAGAAGCAAATAGGCATGTGATGTCCATGATCCATGCTGCTGCTAGGGAACAGGTGGAAGTCTTGTTCTCTCAGCTGCCACTGGAAACCATGTTGTACTCCACAATCTGTGCTGCTGCCTGAAACCATGTGCAAGTGAATGGTCTGTGCTCTGCCTGGCTGTTATTGGCAAGAAAGCTTCTTTTGCAAGTGTATCAATGACTGCAGACTCATAACTGAGAAGAAGAGACATGGAAGGCTTCTGTGACAACCCCTGCCCCTCAAAAAGAAACAGTTCACAGAAGAAGCTATTGAAGAAAAACCTTAAAAACTGAAATAACGACATTACAGTATAAGTCTTCACTGGTGATGTTGGCTGGCAGGGTGGTAAGGGAGGTCTCAGCTTCTTTAAGATGCTGACCAATGGGAGTTTGACCAGCCTCCAGTAGGTATGAGGGCAACATAAATTGAACTTGGTGAGGTTTTTTTTTTTTTTTTTTTTTTTGTTTAGTTTTTGTGTTTTTGGTGGGGAGTGGAGTATGGAAGTGGCGAAAGGGTAGGAAGGTGGACCTGGGAGGAATGGAAAGCAAGTATGATTGGAGTGTGTTGTACAAAATTTCCAAATAATTAATAACAATGTTTTATTGGTAAAAAACAAAAACAAAAAACAAAAACAGAACAAACAAATAAGCCTAAAATATTAAAAACATTTGAGGTAATTTACAGATAAAGCAGCTACTAAATGCTTTACTTACTTTGTAAGTACGTGCTTAGGTTCCAAATCCATTGGTTCTGCTTGATTTTGTGTACTTTGTAAATTTTGCTCTCTGGGGATAGATGCTTTTTGATAAAATTTACTGTTTCTCTTCTAACAGTTTAGGCAAAGGGGTTCTTTAGCTCTGACCAGTCAAAAATACAATTACCTACTTCTCCACAAAAGTAGAAGCAATCAAGGATACTGGTCATTCTCAAGTAAGAAGCCTACACTGCAAATATTATGGTATCACTTCCATAATTCTGTCCAGCAAATTGTAATGACTTTTATTAGCTTATTGTCACGGATTAACTTCATGTAGGTACAAAAATTTATAGTCATTACTTATCAAGCGTATACCCTCATCATTAAGTTTCCAAAACATCAGCTGTCAGAACACCACATTCTCAGGCTTTCATTGAGTTCTCCCACCAATAACACTTATTTTAAAGAATATATTAATCATGCGGTTGAGGTTTCTCAACAAATATTCAGAGCAGCTACCACTTGCCAAATTCTAAAAATTCAGTAATTGGTCAAGGCTACTGGCTGATGAACCAGTCTCCTAAATATTAATTGATTAATATAATAAGTGAATAAAGTGTTATAGAAATAATAGCCAAGTTTTGACACATGGGTGACAAATGGATAGGTAAGATTATAATGACATCTAGCCATCTGTTTACACTATCAATGATCTGTGGACTGATCTCAGATTTGGTGATAGACTACTATTTCTTCAGAGATATAGTTGTGTTCTATAAGGTTAAACATTTGCTATTATAAAAGGATATATACTACAAAATTATAAGTCATTCTATGGCATTTTACAATGTAGTCAAGTAGAATCATACCCTCCCCTTATATAAATTAAAGAACAAATCTGATTCAAAACTTATTTAGCACATAGTACCTTTTTAGAGTCTTAAAGATGTTGCCATTTTCTTATGCTTTGCAGTTTGCAAATATTACTTCTTAATAAAGCACAACAATTATTTCTTTTGAGTCTGAATGAACTGCCTAATAGGCATAAATCAGATAAATGCTCTTTTATCCCAGAGCCCTCTTCAGGGGATACCTATCGATGAAGATCTGAGACAATGGACACACTCCAGTAGCTCATGAATCTTATCTGCTAAATATAGTAGGCAACGAAGTCAAAGATCAATAAAAAGATTAATGGTTTTAATTACCCCTCTGTAACCAGTTGCAGATAAAATTTTACTTGCTACTTTCACTGAGGGTAAAACGCCACAGTCGTCTGCCCAGGTAAGCTAATTTGACTTTCTTTCTGGTAAAGTGCTCATCGACAATCATGTAATGAGTCTTCTCTATGTGTGACTGAGTACTGAGCATACTTCTTTTCAAATCTCAAGGAAAAAAAAGGCTATAAAACTGATGAATGACACATAAACGTTTCCTTTATGAAAAAAAAATCCCAGGAAATAAGACAATTTCCAAGCAAAAGTTTCTCAGCTTGAGCCATATGGAGCAAGTTAAAAAGTACCAAATGGATGCTGTATTTATGGAGTTGAATGAACAATGGTAATAAATACTGACAAGTGCCTTCAGAAGATATATGGAATGACTGAAGAAATTATTTTTCTCTATGGCAAAAGAAAGATAAAACAAGAAGTTTAGTCTACATGAATAGCTCATGATTATTAATCTTTCAGAAGAAAACTAGTTAATAGCATGCACATATATTTTAATTCATATTAAAGAATAATTGGAACTTGGAACATTTTGTAATGTTTCTTTCAAAATTATGCCCTGGTATGTGACCACATTAATCAGGATTTGTTGCAATTAGCACTTCCATAGAATGAATCAAGACACTACACAATAACCAGAATTTATCAAAGAAGAATGATTGACACATAGGCATAACATTTTATTACTTAAGTTTTAATTTAATTTTGGTGGTGAAAAGGACAATGTTTCTTGCATTTACTTAAAAGTAACCTTAAAGTTATTCATTTTATTACATTTGTCTGACTATAATTTGTGTTATTTGTCCTCTTCTCTATTAGCATGATTAGAAGGTCATCAACATAACACTAAATTGGTTTGTTACTGTCAAATGTTAATATGCTCTGAATACTA